TTCACTTGAAGTATGTTGACATCAAACATGATAAGTTGCACAATTAATCACAATTAGTTTTTTCTAGTTCTTGTGGCCTTATGCTTCTTCAATCTTTTATAAACTAGAAACATCAAATAGCTTAAAACAACATGTTTACAAACACCTAGTTTTGGCAAAACAAATACTTAGGCGAAAGGAAACAGCTTCATCAATGTTCCTCATCTATTTCTTTTTGTATAACCAAGGATACAACCTGCCACAAAGTTACAAGGGAAGGCAAGGCAAGGGAAATTTTTATTCCAAGAATGACCTCTACAAATCTTAAGCAAGTCCCCTGGAGCCAGCAGAGTTACTATACTTTTATATGCATTTAAAAGACTGGGGCTACATCTGCTGAAAGAGACACTGAGGAATTCATGAATCCCAAGCTCACAACAATGCATCTATTTCATCAATATTTACATCACTGCCTTTCACTGTTACAAAACAGTTGTGTATTTTCCCAAGACAAGCATTGTTCTGTTTCTGGCAAGACCACTTGTGAAATGCTAAGTTATCTGTGCTATTAAGAAATTTTTAAAAAATGCCATAAAAGTGGGGGAGAGTGAACAGAGTGCTTCCACTTCCACTGCAAGGGCATCTTCCCAATGCAATTTTTTCCAAGATAAAATGCTACAGAATGCATTTGATAATTGCATGGAACTAGCTTCACATTGATTTTTTTTTTTTTTCCAACCACTGTGTCAAGGGAAAATTACATAACCAAAACTTCCTTGTGGATATCTGAAAACCAGCTGACAGCAGAAAATTATTTTCTGCCCCTTTAAAAACAAACTATCAACAATGTACAAAATTTAATGAACAATCTATTTGCTGTCCCTTAAAGGTCAGCACACTTTTCCAACACTTTTCCTGTAACACACTTACATAACCTTATTCAGTTTTCTTTCCACTATCTTCCTGTAATTCAGAAGACTATTTAGACTCCCATATGGTTGCCATCAAAACCAGCAGATGTCAACCAAATTAAAACACAAACTATGACTTGTAATATGCTGATGTATCGTAATTGCAGCGTATCTCACAACTTACGGTGAATCATGAGATAAAGCAAAGGTTTCTGAGGTGTCAGTGCTTTTTATACATCTTTCCAATTAGGCTAGGGTCAGTGGAATCAAGTGTGGATTGAAGTTCAGAGTTAAACAATAGTATATATCCACAGTTCCCATCAAGTATAATAAAGCACAGAGAGCAATTTAAAACAGTTCTTGGAATTAAAAGTCAGCTTAAAAATGCCTTGCAAAAGCAGAAGGGAAAGAAGGGGAAATCATTCTTGTCTTTTGGGAAACGGGGTGGCCTACTTTTACTTTTTGCATTGTACCTTTGACATCATTCTACATGGAAGTCTAAGAGGGAAGGGGGGGAGGAGGCAGCATTGTTTGTTTGCTTTCTCCAACTACAGAAAAATGTTTTCTGTTACCTTATATTACAGCTGCAGCTCTCATCTAAATCAGATTACATTATGGTTTACCTAGACAAAGACATAAAGGCTCATAAAAAAGCACTGTCTGTTCCACCAGCCTAGAAAGGTAGCAAACATAATGTGGAGATTTCACAAAGGCATTATGCCAGTCAAGTTAAAGCACAGGTCTGTGCCCTAACAAACAACCAGCAGAAGAATGTCAGCTGAGCAATGGAAAGAGAAGCATAATATTGAGTTCTAATTTTTGATTTAGATGTATTTGTGCCTATTTGGTCTCAGTTCCTAAATCTTACTCTGGCAACCGCCAAACAAGCTTTCCTTTTCCACAAGAGCATAGTAATCTCATAAAATAAGTTTTTCTCAACAAACACTTCCAGCATATTTACCAACTTTAGTACTGAATTTCCAAAAAAAAAAAAAAAAAAAAAACAAGCTTGCAAATATACCTAGAATTATGCATAGACTCAGCAGATAATGTTGTCTTCTACAACAGTATGAAACACATAGTTAGACAAGAACATGTTATCTGGGGTGGTGCAAGACTGAGAACTATCTCCTGAAGAGCATACTGTCACCTTTAGTTACAACTACATATACAGCAATAGAGTGCAACTTTCCCATATTCATTATAGTAACGATTCAGTTGTGTTTTTTAAGGAAAGAAAAGACAGACCAGCACAAAACCAAAAAATTGACAAAATTTATTTTGCCCATATGCTGTGGCATATAAAGCCTCCGATTTTTTGCAGTATCTTCAGTTTAAGTACCATGTACAATCATTCCTCACATAATTTCAGTAGATCTACAGTATTCCTCCCCTCAAGGCACTGACAATTTTCTTGTCAAAACCACTACTCTTCCAACTCAGTTCTCTTTATTTTTAGTCCATTGTTTTATGATGCAGAATAGAGAGTATTTTCCCGTTTGCTTACATTAAAATTTTAAAAGGTTGTGTTAAGAGCACTACATAATAATGCTCAGGTAGAAGTTTTAACAAAGGTGTTCCACACATCTCCATGTTCACGAGACCCCTGGAGAGTGTCATGGGGTTAATATGATGACCTCTTCATCATTTCAATCTATTTACAATGACTATATTAGTGACTATTTTTGATTATCACTTTCTGTGAACAGCCAACCAAACTTGCAATTTGCATTTACAGCTTTTCTGGCCCAGTTTCATGATAGACTATTGAAGGGTTTGCTATTAATTCAGTAAAAACAACATTAAAATGTATTCTGCAAGAGTAACTGCCTGTGTTTTCACTCCAAATGATGAGAGACATGGTAATAAATGCAAGCTTCCTCATAAAGAGATTACAATACTCTGAAGAAATGACTAAATTCTTAGAAAAGTACTTTGTCTCTGTGGATTTCAAGAAGTTTAGCCAAGGACTCAAATGAGATGATTAGCATTTTGCAAAAGGGGAAATCTGTAAGCAAGGGCCACACATCAAGCAAACGGCAGAGTGGGCGATACACTGAGGTCTTTAGATTAGCATTCCAGCAGTATAAAGCCGCATGGCCTAGAGATATTCTTTAACCCATTCAGTTACAACAGAGGAACATCTGCCATCATGCAAAAGCTATGCTGCATAAGCTTCAACAGCTCAGGAATAAGAAAACGAGTAGCCACAAAATACCTAAAATATACCTCTTCCCCACTTGCACCATCTGCACATTAACCTTCAGAGAATAAGATGAAGGAAATTACAGGGTACGTAGTTTCTTATAGACTGACAGTGGCTGAAGGAGGAAGATAACATGTTTATGTATATTTCACCATAACCTCTCCTCCCTCTTGTAGTCCAAGGACAGGGCAACACAAGTGTTCCTCACACTACTCTGTTCCCTGCTGAAAAACATCTGTGTTCACAGCAACATATGCCAGGGGAATCAAAATGAAAAAACAGACAAATGAAAAGAACCATGGCAAACTCAACCACTAAAAGCTGAGCGAACAGTACAATAAAAACAGCTACTGTAGGGTCAGAATACTACAGAAAGCTTGCAACCACTCATCTCCACAGGTCGGTCTTTAGCCAAGTAAACATTGACATAAAAACACAGTCAACTTCGCTCTAGCAGCTTACTTTCTTGATTAAGGAAAGGTGTTTCAGTATAAAAGTGTAATTAATCAAAATTCCCATCCTTCCAAAACAACCTCTTCAGGCACCTTTACTTTTCAGGAACACAGACATGAGGTTAGCTACGAATACCTGCTAGCTACGTACCCACCCTCCTCTATTCTCACCAAGGTGACGATCACAAGCTCAGTATTGGTTAGGTTTCCCTCCTCTATTCTTCCCCACCTTCATCCATAAAACTTCAAGGTGGTTTGGGGTTTTTTTCCCCCCAGTTCACCTTTCTAGTCCAAAAAAGCGACTATACCAGATATGTACTCAACGTGCCTTCAAAGCCCCTCAAAAACACATTCACCCTACCTGGCTTTGTGCATGTTTCTCATTGCGAAATGGAATATCTCATGAAAAGAGGGGGATTGTACATCTAAAAGCTTTCACCCAACTTTAACATTCTATGCAGTGATAAAACCTCATCATTTGTGTGTGTGTGGGAATGCTCACCCCCTCCCTCTGTGCTTACAAAATCTGGCATACACATCCAAAACCAGCTGCTTCTCTTTCAAATCCAACACATTGAGAAGATGCTAGAAATACTATTATATGCAGGTTACGTTTCACTATACCGTTCTGCCTACTCTACAGCCAATGCTAGAATGGTGCAAGAAGATACTGTGCAGTCAGGAGATCAAGCAGCACAGCCAGGAATCCAAGCAAATGCCCAACCAAGCCTCCCATGGGCTTGCACTTCAGGGGTGGGTGGGAATACTGTTTCCTCCCTCCTCCATCCTATCATTGCTGCTACTACTACTACGTGGTAATAGCTAATCATAATAAACCCATGCCATACACAACCTCGTCATTGTGTAATCATTGCCTTAAACAGCACTGTTCAGAGAACTTCGATTGTGATTCTTCTCTTTTTTACTATTTTTATTTAACAGAGATATCAGCACAAAAACAGGCAGATCAGTTCGTTCTCCAGGCCTGGGTGTCTAGCTGCTCCCTCCCCCACCACAAAGCAGACGAGGGGGAAGGAAGGAGAGAGGAGGAAAAAAAGGAAAAAAAAAAAAGGGGGGGGGGCAAGAAACCCTCTTCGCACCTACAACAAAAGCAATTAGGAGGTCCGGAAGGGAAGGGGCATGGGCAGCCGCGGAAGGTGCAGGAATGCAGCACGCCAACTTGCCCCGGGAAGGGCTCCCCGGAGCCCGGCAGGCGGGAGGCGGCTGAGACGGCGGCACCCCCGGGGCCTCGCGCGACCCACCCCGCGCGAAGCCCCATTCGAACCCCCAACCGCCGGCCTCGCGCCCAACTGTCACGCACGACCCCCGGCTCCGCTTTCACACGTCCCTCAGTTTATATTTCTGGCCGTGCCCAGCCCGGGAGCGGCGGCAGGGGAGGAGGAGAAAGGTGGCAGAGGAAGACACGAAGCGCCGTGCGACCGGCCCACTTACCCAGAAAATGACATTGAAGCCGAAGATGAAATATTTGATGCAACAACTGACTTCAGGCCCCTTGTAGTGCTTCCCGGACATCCTCTGCGCTCATGAAGACACTTTGCTCGCAGCCAGGGTGAGAACCAAAGGGGGGGGGAAATGAAAAAAAAAAGGGGGGGGGGGAGGAAAAGAAAAGGAGGGGGGGCGGGGGGCGGCGCGGCGGGCAAGGCTCAGCGCCGGCTGCGCGCCGTGGGGAGATGCGACAGGAGCGGCGCGGCGGCGGGTCGACTCCGACTTGCCGGGCGCCGGGGATGGCCGGCGAGCAGCTCCCACCTCCTCCTCCTCTTCTCCCGCATGGAGGAGGCCCCGGCTACTCGCAGCGGGAGGCGGGGAGAGAGAAGGAGAGGGGGCGGCCGCCGGGGAAGAAGCCGCCGGGAGGTGCCCGGGCAGAGGCGCGGGGCTCGCCCCAGCCACAGCCCGCCGCCGCGCTGCCCTGCCGGAGCCGCGAGGCGCCCACAGCCCTCCCGTGCAACAATCGCTCCCTCCCTTCCCCGCCCCCACAGCGACAGCGGCGACGG